ACTGCGCGACGGAGCCGAAACACTTCTTCGAGCGGACGAATGAGCACCATTTTCAAGAAACTGGTGGCCCAGCCATCGCCTGGGAGAATGGCCTGCTCGACCTCGAGCGGCTGAGACGCAACCTGCCCAACGCAGCAGTAGCGTTCAGCACGGTGGAGCACAATCTGCATCTTCAACTGCCAGAGTGGGAACCCCGTGGCCATGGCGGCTTCCAGAAGCCAAGGGTAACCAACTTGTTCGAAAGCTTTCAACAAATCCACTAGCACCATGCCAAATACCAAAGCACCCTTAGCTGAACCATTGGCCTTAGTACTAGCATACTCCGGCCCGGCCGTCTGCTGCCAGACAGCGCGATCGCACGATCGACCCTTGGAGGCCCAGAAGTAGGTCCGATCATTTCGACGTTCCCAATCTTGAGCAATCGGGCGGCGCAGCCTCGCCTGAACGCGCGCGAGCGCGTGCGTTAAAGCTATCAGCCGCGCCCCATCCGAGCCTCTTGGCAAGAAAAGCTATCTTCGTGGAGATCCTGGGCCACTCCCAGGGCGGCGTCGCGCAGACAATCGAGCTAGCGAGGCCGAATCATGCAGAACGACGTCCTAGAGCGCCTCGGGAAGGCGCGCGAGACCTTACGAAGGTGGACCACTGAGGGCCGATCAGGACGTTGCCCCAGATCTCGTGGCCAGTCGAGGCCTCGATGCCACTGTCCCACCTTCCACCGTCTGCCCCACTCCTCCCGACGCCTATCAAACTCCTTCTGCGTGTCCCGAGGCCGATGCGGGGCCTCCTTGGTGCTCCCGTGCCATCCTGCGGGGACCTTGGCGAGGGCATGCAGGGCCCCCGCTCCAGCTCCAGCCTGCTCAGAGACCCAGCGCCGACACAGAACTCTTCCTTATGTCCATGTCCATCTTGGCCACCTTCAGGGCCTCGCCCCGAATGGCCCTCGGCAGAAGCTCCAGGAACGCAGGGCCCAGGGCGTGCACCTCCAGAACGAAGCGTAACAACCTCCAGCCTCCAGCAGGGGCCACGCCTGCCTGTGCGCCAGCGGGGGCACCTGCGATCAGCCCACGCAGAGAACGCGGCGCAGGCGCACGAGTGAGCGGCTTGCCGAACGCCGCCGCGAAGTGCAGACTCGCCGACAGATTCTCCAGCCAGGATGCCCCCTGGGACACTTTCGGGGACTTTGGGACCTTCGGAGCCAGAGTGGAGACCCGCTTGGGCTGCGGGGGCCTGTCGCGCCCCATGTATTTATGGGCGTCGTCGCCGACGTCGCAAACGTCGCAAAGCTCAATCTCGGCCTGCCGAACAAATGCATTCCAAGCGCAAGTGAGAGCCCCAAGACCACCCCCGTCACCGAGAGCAGCTTCGACACGACTACGACTGGGGCCCTGGGGAAACTCATGATCATGCGCATAGCACCCAACTGGCTTGTCGACAGGAAACGGGTGAGGCACTGGAACGACACTCACACGCGAACGCGTTGTATCATAAGAAAGAGTTAGCCGAACAGGAACATGCGAGTTCGCGCTAACCTGCACGTCCGTCAGGGTCTCGAGCGAGGCGACCGCGAGCACATTGGGTACCAGGAAATAGTCAAGCGTGCGCCCGCTGGAGAAGGTGGCAACATCTGGCTTCGCGATCTGCGCATCGAACCAGTCCAGTACCCCCGACTCCGTCAGTGCCTCGGGCGCGCAGTTGAAGTCGCCCCCGACGGTGTACGGGAGCTGGGCAGCCTTCGGGAACTCCGCGAGCTTATACGTCAGCTCGGAGTTCACAGCCCCCATCTCGTCACCAGAAATGAAGTACAGGTTGACTAGCAGCACCCCGTGCTTGGCGAAGCCCGAGTGGCACAGCACAGAGATGCGACCAGGGACGAGGATCTCGGACTTCTCGGTGTCGAGCCGCCCCAGCCCGTGCACTCGAGGGGCCGTCGTCCGTAGGCCTCCATGCCCGAATCCACCTGGTATGACATCAGTAGCAGGCGAGGCCGCCGCGACTCAACATCCAAGCAGCGAGCCTTGGTGGTCAGGTGCGTCCCCTGAACCAGCCGGGCATCAACGCGGAACTCTTCCCGCGCCAGCAACGACTGCTGACTGCTGTATCCGTTGGCATTCACAGTGGTGACCGACCAAGCGGTGCTAAAAGACCCGAGCATTCCGGCTTCTTCTGCACCGACTCACGCAGGGCCTGCACCGTGGCAAGCTTCTGTGGGTCATCGCCGCAGGCTGCGAACATCTCGTTCCAGGTCTCGTCCTCAATGGCTCGCTTGGCGCAGGCGCCCAGCGGCCCCATCTTGGCAGGCTTGCCGCCGTCCGCCCAAGCATCGTCGCCCTCGTCTTCATCCCCCGAAGAAATCTCATGCTCGGCGGCCTGCTCTTGCTCAAGACCAGGGATGGCAGCCAGGGCGCCAGGGCCAGGAACCCCAGGAATACCAGGGCGATCCCGGACGCCTCCTCCAGCCTCGACGGCTGCCCGATCTGCGGCTGCGGCTGCTGCTGCGGCGGCTGCTCCTCCTCCTGCTCATGGGGGGGCGGCAGCAGCGGTGGCGGGCGCGGCAGGGCGCGCGGCCACCGGGGGCGCCGCAGGCGCCAAGGCCGCGAGCAAGGCCCGCAACGGAGCCTCCAGCGGGCCGAGGACGCCCTCGGGCACCTTCTCGACGGCGTGGGTGAGCTCCGTCGCCAGGTGCGCCACTCCCTGGGGAGGAGCGGCGGGCGCGGCGGCTGGGGCCCTCCCTGCTGCCGCCTCCCGAGCCTCCGCCATGAGAGTCTGAACCTCCTCCTCCAACCTTTGGATTTTAGCCCGATGGTCGCACAAGGCCGCCATGGCCTCGCGCACGTGCTTCTCCGTCTTGCCCAGCGAGTTCTGGGCGGCGAGGAGCTGCTCGGCCTTCTGGTCGACAGCCGTCTGCGCGGACTTGAGCTGCTGCACGGACGCCATGCGGCCCAGACCGAGCTTGGCGCGCCACCGCTGACCACGAAGACGATCCCTGGTGGCAGGGTCCAAGGCGGGGCACGCTGCATCGAACTGTTCATCATACATCTGAAGCCAAAGTGCGGCTTGCTCCTCAGACAGTTTCGCGTTCTTGGGATAAGCATTGCCTTCCTTCTTGGGCTGCTTGGGGCGGCCACCCCCAACAGCAGGACCACCGAAGATGGGCGGGCCCTGAGCCCAACGCCCACGAGGCAAAGTGTGCCACGGAGCATGAGCGATGTCATCAGGATTACGGCCGTTGCACTGCGCCTGCCTGCACTTCCCGCGGAAACCGAGGTTGAAGTAGCCGCATGTGCCACATTGCCAGCCATTACTCCTTTGAGACATCCACACAAGAGCAAGAACCAACAACTATGACACACAGTAAACAGTGAGCAAGTGAGGGATGAAACCTCACTCCAGTACCAGAAAAGCAACTGGCGGATCGCTTTAGGGGGCCGTCACTCCCCCGTGCCAAAAGAAGCTCTCGTCCTCGAGCGACCGCTACGCGCCCTCGCCGGCGCTCACTGCTCGCTGTGTGGCTGGAAGGCCGACGTCGAGGTTTTTTTTCTACCCTCCTCCTCCTCCGCCTCCTCCTCCTTCTCCCCTCCTCCTCCTCCTCCTCCTCCTCCGCCTCCTCGGCCTCCGCCTCCTCCTCCTCCTCCTTTCCTCCTCCTCCTCCTCCTTTTCTCCTCCTCCTCCGCCTCCTCCTCCTCCTCCTTTTCTCCTCCTCCTCCTCCTCCTCCTCCTCCTCCTCCTCTCCTCCGCCTCCTCCTCCACCTCCTCCGCCTCCGCCTCCGCCTCCGCCTCCGCCTCCTCCTCCTCCTTCTCCTCCTCCTCCTCCCCCCCGAGTCCCAGTCTTCGGGCCCCGCGGGCCCAGGTTTTGCCTCTCGGGCGTCGGAGCCCACCTCGCCTAGGATCATGCGGTTTCGCTATCGGACGCCTCTCGCCGATCTATCGGCGACGCATCGCCGATTCCAGGTCGATGTTTCCCCTCTTGAGCCAGTTCCCCCCTGCTTTCGCTGCCTTTACCTACCCTCTCCAGACCCCCCTGCCGCTGTGCTTTTGTCGCTACGGACCCTCCTCCTCCTCCTCCTCCTGCCCCTCCTGCCCCTCCACCTCCTTCTCCTCCTCTTTCCTCCTCCTCCTCCTCCTCCTTCTCCTCCTCCTCCTTCTCTTCCTCCTCCTCCTCCGCTCCTCCTCCTACTCCTCCTACGCTTCCTCCTCCTTCTCCACCTCCTCATCTTACTCCTCCTCCTCCTCCTCCTCACCTTCCTTCTCTTGCTGCTAGTCTACATCAACATTTAGGCCCGCCCAAAACAAACACCAAACGCCTCGGGTGACTGTTTTGGAGCGGGCGCCTTTTTCAGGCGACGGCCTCCTCCTCCTCCTCCTCACCCTGATCCTGCTGCTCCTCGTTCTCCTCGTTCTCCTCCTCCTCCTCCTCCTCCTCCCCTTCCTCTTCCTCCTCCTCTTCCTCCTCCTCCTCGTTCGCCTCCTCCTCCTCCTCCTCCTCCTCCTTCCCCCCCTCCTCCGCTTCATCCTCCCCCCCCCACCCGCCCGCTAGCCCGCTGGGGCCCCGCCCGCCGCTCGACCCGCCCGCCCGAACCGACCCGTCCTTTAGGGAAAGCGCGTGCTGCCTCGAATTTGCGGCATACTTTGATGTCCCGCCCGCGCGATCCGCCCGCGGCCCCCCGCTGAATGAATGCCCCGTCCCCTGGGACGTCCCGGCCCCCTCCTCTCATGTTCCGCTCAGCCTACGAGATCGGAAATTCAACATAGGAGTCCAATCTACAAGATCGCTTTGAACATGAATATTGAACTGAACGTTCAATATTGATTTTCACGTTCGGGAGTCCAGAGTTGTCATTTCGGGAGTCCAGAACTGCACCTCTGCAATTGTTCAGTTCTGGGGTTGCTTAATTCCGGGGATCTGAACTCCAATATTAAAATTGAGAATTGAATAATTGGCCCGCTGACCAGACACCATTTGGTAAACCATAAGCATAAGTATAAGTGTGCCTCTTTTGCTCCTCCGGATGAGGAGGGTCGTGGCCTGGCCGACCACGGCCTGGAAGATGAGCGTCCCGATCTGTGGCGCGGACATTTTCATGAAAGCCTTGACGTGCTGCCGCCTCAAGAACGTCCTCTCGCTCCAGCCCGGCCACGTCTCCACGTGTGCCCTCCGCCACGCGAACATGTAGAGCCAGTAGAACAGCGGCTGGAGACTCCGAGAGCAGCTCAGGGATATCGCCGCACCAATGAAGCCAAGGCCGTGCCAGCCGAACCAAGCCTTGAACGGGCCTCCGAAGACAAGGACCCAGTTCAGCACGGCATTGACAAGGAGGAATACTATGTTGTTGTACATGGCTGGCCTTGTAACTCCCTGCGCCTGGAAATAGAAGCGCATGCACTGGTACCAACCATTGGGGATTGGCCAAAAAGCGTTGAACTTGGCATAAGTACCCGCCAACTCACAGATGTCTGCATCAAAGCCCAAGATGTGCAACATAGGCGAGACATAGAAGAACGACACCAACACTGGAAGGTAGGCGACTGTGAGCCAGATTAAGGAGAGCTGTAACCACGTGCCCGCCATCTTCTTGTTGCCAGATCCCATGGCCTGGCTCACCAGCCCGTTGAGGCTCATGTTGAAGGCGAGCGGGGGGATGATGAGGATGTTCGTGACCATGTCTGCAAGCCCTGCGGCTGCTAGGTACTCTTTCGGCCCATACCCCGAGCTGGCCGACACGCCGCCGCTGCTCGCCAAGAAGCCATACGCCATCAATGTTGACCCTAAGTGGGCCACAAAGCCACTGCGGAGCGCGCTACTGCTGACAGAAAACATGGCGGACGCTGAATGCAGGTGCCCTACAAAAGACGAATCCTCCGATGCCATGCCGAAGCGACAGAAGAAGCTCACGAGCATAGGCCAACCGATGCTGCACATCGTTTTCACCTCTTCTTTGTAGAAGCCCCTTGGAACCGCGTCTTCTGCAACGAGGCCCTCGCGAAGCTCTCGCTGCGTTGTGTCCCCATCGGGTGCCACGGAGGCGCTCGTCATGGCGGCGCGCCTGCGTCCAGCGCGGGGCGCGGAAAATCAGCAGGCCACCCCTGAGGGAGCAAATGCGAAGAAACAATATCCTTCAAGCGAAAATATCTGCGGACGAACGGGGGAGCGAGACGGTGACGACGCATGCCGTGACGGCGTACAGCCCACCCTCCAAGATCGAAGCGCGGACTTTGGTCGAGGCCCCCTGCAAGGCCTCCGCGGACGACCTCTCGCAGACTGCGCTCGTTGAGGGATGCCTGGTCACCTTTCTCTCCATCTCCCATTGGCTTTCAGATTGGTGTGACTGTGGCCGGAGCGCCAGCGCCTCATCTTCGAGGGCAGGCCGCTGGAGGGCTGGCGCGCGCCCCGGCCCCTCGCCGCGGGTGAGCCTGTCGGCGGCACCGCAACGGGTACTGGAGGAGGACGAGGAGGAGGACGAGGAGGAAGACGGAGAGAAATGAGGCAGGCAGCAGACCAACTTCCCACGTCTCCCGCACGTGTTTGTGGGCTCCCCGCTGCTCCCTCCGCGCGCGGCCAGCCATCCCTCGGTTCAAGCGTCCGAGGGCTGCTCGTCTCCCCTCCCGTTCTCGCATCCAAGTGTGCACGAGCGGTGAGACTGCGGGCGGCTTGCCGGCTGGAGAGAGGAGAACGGCGGAAGGCAGGGGGGCCAGGTCGTCCTCGTCCTCTCTCTGCTCGTCTTCCCACCCCCAATGCCCTCTTCTCGCTCCTACTGCTGCGAACTGCCACATGGATGATACCGAGGCGTCCACCACGTGAACTACAACCTCTTGCTCCTCCTCCTCCTCCTCCTCCTCTTCTTCCTCCTCCTCCTCCTCCTCCTCTTCCTCCTCCTCCTCATCCTCCTCCACCTCCTCCTCCTCCTGCTCCTCCCTCCTCCTACTCCTCCACTTCCTCCTCCTCCTCCTGCTCCTCCCTCCTCCTCCTCCTCCTCCTCCTCCTCCTCCTCCTCCTCCTCCTCCTCCTCCTCATCCTCCTCCTCCTCCTCCTCCTCCTCCCCCTTCTTCCTCTTCTTCCTCCTCCTCCTCCTCCTCCTCCTCCTCCTTCTCCTCCTCCTCCTCCTCCTCCTCCCCCACCTCCTCCTCCTCCCTCCTCCTCCTCCTCCTCCTCCAACTCCTCCTCCTCCTCCTCCTCCTCCTCCCTCCCCTCTCCCTTCTCCCTCCTCCTCTTCCTCCTCCTCCTCCTCCTAGACCTCCTCCTCCTCCTCCTCCTAGACCTCCTCTTCCCTCCTCCTCCTCTTCCTCCTCCTCCTCCTCCTCCTCCTACTACACCTTCTCCTCCTCCTCCTCCTCCTCCTCTCCCCTCCTCCTCCTCCTCCTCCTCCTCCTCCTCCTCCCTCCTCCTCCTCCGCCTCCTTCTCCTCCTCTTCCTCCTCCTCCCCCTCCTCCTCCTCCTCCTCCTCCTCCTCTTCTTCGCATTCGTAGTATTATTATTTGTGTTTCTTGTTACTATCAGTTTTATTGATAGTATATTTCGTATTAATATTGATAGTATTATTATTATTAGTATTATTATCATTATTATTATTATTAGTATTATTATAATTATTATTATTACTATTATTAGCATCGTTATCATTATTATTAGTAGTGTTATTACTATTATTATTATTGTTATTGTCATTATTGTTATTATTGTTAGCATCATTATTATTAGTATTAGTATTACTAGTATTAATATTAGTATCATTATTATTAGTATGGTTATGATTATTAGTAGGAGTATGATTATTACTATTATTATTAGTAGTAGTATTATTACTATTATTATTACTTATATTAGTCTTCTTATTATTATCGTTAGTTTTCTTCTTCCTCCTCCTCCTCCTCGTCCTCCTCCTCCTCTTCCTCCTCCTCCTCCTCCTCCACCTCCTCCTCCTCCTCATCCTGCTCCTCCTCCTCCTCCTCGTGTTCCTCCTCCCCTCCTCCCCCTCCTCCTCTCCTCTTCCTCCTCCTCCTCCTCCTCCTCCTCTCCTCCTCCTAGTTATTTTCCTCCTGCTCCTACACCTCCGCCTCCTCCTTTCCCTCCTCATTCTTCCTCCTCCTCCTCCTCCTCCTCCTCCTCTTCCCTCCTCCTCTTCCTCCTCCTCTCCCCTCCTCCTCCATTTCCTCCTCTTTTTCCTCCTCCTGTTCCTCCTCAGTTTCCCCTCCCCTCCTCCACCCTCCTCCTCCCTCCTCCTCCTGCTTCTCTCGTCCTCCTCCTTCTCCTCCTCCTCCTCCTCCTCCTCTTCTTCCTCTTCCTCCTCCTCCTCCTCCTTCTCCTCCTCCTCCTCCTCTTCCTCCTTCTCCTCCTCCCCACCTTCTCCTCCTCCTCCTCCTCCTCCTCTCTCCTTCTCGTCTCCTCTCTCCTCCTCCTCCTCCTCCTCCTCCTCCTCATCCCTTTCCTCCTCATTCTTCCTCCTCCTCCTCCTCCCTCCTCCTCCTCTTCGTCCCCTCCTCCTCCTTCTCCTCCTCTCCTCCTCCTCCTCCTCCTCTTCCTCCTCCTCCTCTTCGTTCGTCCCCTCCTCCTCCTCCTCCTCCTCCTCCTCTTCCTCCTCCTCCTCCTGGTCCTCCTCCTCCCCCCGTCCCCCTCCCCCCCCCTCGCCGTGCCCCTGCTCGTCCCTGGTTTCCTCCCTCTTCCTCCTCCCCTTTTTCCTCCTCCGCCTCATCCTCTTCCTCCTCCTGCTTCCCCTCCTTCCTCCCTCCAGAAAGGCTCTGCGCGCGAGCACCCCGCCCTTTCCCCTCCGAAGGGCTGCCCTCGCACTCGCGCGCGGGCGTCCATGCCGCGAAACTCGCGCCGCGAACCTCCTCGCCGTTCTGGCCGAACCCCCGACAACGGATCCGCAGAGGACGAAACAGGATTAGGAGGCCACATGCGAACCTTATCCCACCACACCACGATTTCTATTCGGCCTAAGGATACCGATGCCGCTGCGCTGGCCTCGTCTTCGCCTGCTTGAGCCTCGCCGAGAGCGTTCTGGGGGTGCTTGGACTGCCCCGAACAGCCGCCAGAGAGCCGTACCATGGCCCGAGAGCGATTGGAAAGGTACCGGTACCATTTTTTTTCCGTTGCTCTCGCCGCTTAGGGGCCTCCTGGGAGGCCCTTGTTTCCACAGCTGGATTCGCCTCGGAATTCAAGTCAGAATATACCCCACGAGAAGTCTGGTACCGAGCGGTATCAGCACATTTTGGCACCTTTTGGTTCCCCCAGTCCCCAGTGGAGGCGCGGGGGAACGAAAGTCGGCTGCACGCAGCGTGCGCCCCCCGACGCTGGGAGGCGCCTCGCTCCACCTCCTCCTCCACCTCCTCCTGCTCCTCCTCCTCCTTCTCCTCCTCCTCCGCCGCCCTTTTCTCCGGCGGCGACGACGGCGACGGCGACGGCGACGACGACGACGGCGACGACGACGACGACGCGCTGATGGCTCTGCCTCAGTCTCGGGTCAGGGGGGCGGGGGGGACGCGGGAGGAGGAGGAGGAGGAAGAGGAGGAATATCACAAGGAGGAGAAGGGGGAAGAGGAGAAGGAGGAAAAGAGGAGGACGAGGAGGAGGAGGAGGAGGAGGAGGAGTAGTAGTAATAATAATAATAATAATAATAATAATAATAATCGGTTCACAGGAGCGATAATACGAAAGCCTGTCAAATCAGCCCTGTGGGTAAATTATTGCACAGGGGCTCATACGCTCAGAGACGCACAACCGCGCGGGGGTGACGCGAGCTAGGCCCACCGACGACAGTGCACGCAAGCCCCGAATCAGCACGAAGCGTGAGGGGCCGCGAACGCCGTGCACTCGTACCAGTTGCACGAGTGCACGCACAAGTCTTACTGCTGTGCATTATCAAATTTGGACTGCTCGCATCTCGGTCGAGCTTCCTGAAACCGAAAGGACAAAGGAGCGGGGTCGGACACGCTGAGGGGGGTGGGGGGTGGGGAGTGGGGGGAAGAGGAAGAGGACGACGAGGACAAGAGGGGGGGCCGTCTCTCGGCTGGCGGCGGCACGGGCCTGGAACATCAAGTACAGGGCTAGCATCATCATGATGATCTGACACAAAAAGGCTAGGACTCACTGCGCCTCGAACTCGTCGACCACCGACTGGATCCTGCGTTCGAGGTCGCCTGGCGGTGCCACTCCTTCGAGCTTCGCGGCTTTCTCGCGCAGAAAGACAGGCACCAGACCCTCCTGGAAACAAACGTCGCTGTCGCTGCCCGTCGCCGCGTTCACCTCGAGGCGCTTGATCTGGCTGTCGCACGTCTTGCAGCGTCGGGCGTATCGAACTTCTTTCATCTGAACGTGTTGGTAAGCTTCCGTGTCCGTGGATCCATTCTTCTTCTTGTCGACGTACTGATGTCGATTCTCCGCTTGTGGAGGTTCGAGGCCTTTCTCTGCTAGTTTGGTTTTTGATACCATGACGCATGCGTTCCATGCGGGCGCGTGAGGATGAGCGGGGATGGCAATATTCATCATCTTCTGCTCCCTGCTGCATGTCTTCGCGGCCTTAGCATAGCTCTCGGTAGAATTCTTCCCCTGGGCGAAGTACTCGCAATTCTCGCCCACCTGCTAACTTTCCAATATGATTGCCCTGAGAATCCTCGACGACATAGCCGTACTGAGGCACAGCTTGGCGAAGAGAAGAATGAGAGCCTGTAGACCGCGTTGGCTGCCGCCTGCGGCGCCCCTTCCGCGGTGGACCTCGAGGCGCGGCTGCCGCGAGGCCGAGGTCCACCAGTGACTCAAAAGCACGGGAGACTGAGATGAGGAACGTAAAATCGGCGCCGAGAAATCAAGACGTCTTGGACCAGAAAGGCGCTGCATACGGATCTGGTGATTGTCTGCGGATATGTCGTCGCACTCGCATGTGACTCCGTAAAGCTTACTTATGGCGCGTGTGGAAGTTGTGTCGGGCGAAATGGGACTGGAGGGAATGTAACTCTGACCAACTTTGCACCAGGCGTAGTGCCAGCTGCGTCGTGCGCGGTCTTGCGCTATCTTTCGCGTAGAGAAGTGCGTGGGGCACC